TTGATGCTGCTGACCTGTGGACTCAGCTTTGAGCAGGGATGTACAGCACACCTCCTGCTCCTCTGGCATTTTCCAAATTTAAAACCACATAGAAAAGATCATACATCATGATCAAGTGGGATTTATCCCAGAGATGCAAGGGTGGTTCAGCATTTGCAAATCAATAAACATCATAAATCACAGCAGCAGAATAAGGAATAAAAGCCATATGGTCATCTCAGGAGATGCAGAGAAAGCATTTGGTAAGATTCAGTAGCCCTTTATAGTTAAAAAATGAAACTCCATGAATTAGGTATACAGGGAACTTGCTTCAAAGCTATAAAGACTGTGTATGACAAATAGCCAATCTGAAAAAGTTTCGCCTCAGATCTGGAAATGTCAATTTTCACTGTTCTTACTTAATGTAGACAACAATGTCAACTTTCACTGGTTTTTTTTCATTTTTTATTGTATTTTTGACAATCTTTACATAGTTAATTAGGGTAAAAAGGTTCAAAGGCTAAGGGAAATGGGTAAACTAAAAGTTCCATATTGTTTCTTTCCTATATCTGGGGTAAAGGGGGATTTTAAGGGAGAAGTCCCACCCAGTCTCCCACCCTCCCCAGGTCCCGAATGTGGGGCATGCTCTGAGGGTCTTGCTCAAGTGGTTTTGATAGTTCAACAGTTATGAATTGCCACAATCTTGCCATTCCAAGCACGATGAGGTTGCTGCAGAATCCACTGATTGACACAATCCCCCTTAGAGTCTCCATTTGTCCAGTTTTCACAGCCAACATATGATTGCGGTAGTTGATTGATTTGTTCTGTCCTCTGTCTTTTCATGGTTAGGGTTCTGAGTCTGGCAGTTCGATGAAGTGATCCCCAAAGAAACTTTGTCTGAGGTGATCCCAGAAAAGATTGTTGTATGTACTAGCAAGTACAGGTTCCAGTACACTCCATCGCCCCAATCAACTGGTGGTTGCAATTGCTGGGTTGGTTCTGTTTCCAGCCCTGTCTTCCACTGGAACCAATGTGTGTTGCAGTCCAGCCTGGTTCTGCCCAGCACACACTCGGCCCTCACATAAGCCAATGGGAGCTGCAGCCTAGTTGGAGCGACCCACAATAACTCCCATCAGGCCTGCCCCCTGCGCTGGTCCCAGTGCTTGCCAGTATGTATGGCAGACTAGTTCAGTCTGTCCCACATCCCATTCAGCTCTCATACTTGTCAATGGGCATTGAATACTAGTTTAACCTAACCAGCTCCACTATCTAGCCCACCATTTGCTGTTGGATGCCTTTCTGTCTAGCCACTCCAGCCCCTGTGTTAGTTTTTGTGTCCTACCATGGGAGTGATAACCCAAGAGGGAGGAGTCCACTATTTCCCTTCCAGGCAATTACCACTCCCGGATTTCGCACTCTCTAGGTGATTCTGTGGTTTAAATTGACAGAATTAGCCCCCAGTGCCAGCTTCTGCCAGCTGATGCTATGGCTAAGCCCAAACAACCTTCACACACTCTAATTGTAGCTTACACCAGCCAGAACATTCAGCCCATCCAGGCTTTTCTCCGATCTAGCTCACATGAGGCCCACAGGTGTTGTAGCCCTGCCTGGCCTGGCCTGCCCCCATCCCAGCCCACACTCTTCAGTGAGAGTGGTTGTCCAGCAAGGGAACACCCCCATATTCCTTCTGCCAGCCTTGCTCTCTCCCTTCCTGGTTCTTTCGTGTGCTGTTGGGTGCTGCGGCCACATCTGGTATGGGTCATCTCACCTTGGTGTTCCGTAATGTGCACTGGATTTTGTCATGACCAAACCTGGCCTACCTCACTCTCTGTTCTGGTGCTCGGATTCGCCAGTGGAAAGCGTGAACTGATTCAGCCTGGTCTGCCCCCAACCCATGCCAAATGTATGTAGTGGAAAATTTTCCATAGCCTGTTCTGGGCTGTTCTCTATCGTGCCTCTTGTGCTTATCTGCCGGGTCTGTGTCCTACCAGAGGAATTGCCCTGGCCTGTCCATCATAACCTCTTCCAATGTCAGATTTTGAGCATACCAGGAAGTCCATGAGCCAGCCCTACTCAGTCCACCTCCTGTCCTAGCAGGAACAGTGGCCTTTCCTGACTGGCCTTCAACCCAATCTGGTTCTTACTGTTGGATGTTTCAGCCCAGCCACGGCTCGTCCATACCCACATACAGCTCACACATGGCTCAGTAGGGGCTGAGACCTAGTCTAGTCGGTCCCACATCTACCCTGGTCCTCCAGAACACCAGATGGTGTTGGAGTCTGGCCCGGCTTGGTGCATCCAGTCCCAGTCCACACTTGTGCCAAGAGAGACTGCAGCCATATCCAGATCAGAATGCAGCCCCCATTCCAGCCCATTCACTCCTCGGTGGGAACCTCAACCCAGCTAGGGTGTCCCCTTAGCTCCCCAACCTGGCCTGTTCCCAGCCATAGATCGCACGCATGTCAGTGGTTGCTCTGACTCAGCTGTGTTGGGCTTTGCCTTAGATGCTGTGACTTGGCATTCCAGGCTCATGCAGACCAGGAGGTGTTAGAGCCTAGCTCAGCATGACCTATGTTCTACCCTGGTTTCTAATTTTGCTTGTGTGCTAAGGTTTGCTCAGTCCTGCCTGGTACACCCCATTTCATTACCAATTCACACATTGGCCAGCCTTGGAGCTACCTTGCCCAGCTTGTCTGACCCCCAGGTCTGGACCACATGTTCACCAGCGGGAGCTATGAGTTGCCAGGGGAGTTTCCCAAGTTCCTCCACTTGATCCACTCCCAGACCCAGTTCTCATACATGCCAGTGGGTTTTAGGCCAGTGCCCAGCACAGTCTGGCCTTCCATTTGGCCTTGTATGAGCTGGTGAACGTTGCAGCCCAGCCCACCCCACACCCTATTCAGGATGCACATTTGGGTGCTGCTGCCTTGACCAGCCCAGACTGTTGTTGGTTCCTTATGTGTGAGTGATGGCAGGCTCCTTGGTCACACCTAACTTAGTCCATCACCACCCCAACTCTTGAGCTAACCAGTGGGACTAGTATTTCCACAGGGTTTGGCCCACACATCCCCCACAGAATCTACCCCCAGAAATGGTTCTCTCATGTGCTAGTTAATGTCATGGCCCTGCCTAATGTGACCTGTCTCCTGATCCATCATTATGTCAGGTACTAGGATATGCTCCTGCTAGACAAGCCCCGAGTCTTAGGTTTTGCATGGACTGGTGTTTGGTGGTCAGCATTGTTTGGTGATAACAAGTTCTACAAAGGAAAAGTTACTCTGTCGTTGGGAATCTTTAGGATTGATTCACATCCTAGAAGCACAGTGGGTTCAACATGGAGCTACCTAAGCAGCAATTCAAAGCACCAAAACCCAGAACTCATGGCTGGGCGGCTAGCATGCCATTTGACATCAGACTCTGCCTGCTGGTCGCTCAATGCCATCTGCTGCCCAGTGATTGTGGCAGGTGGGCCCCATGCCTGCGCAGGATCCTGAGACTACTCCCCCTTTGTAGTCACCCTTAAAGGAGCAGACCCTGGACATGATGCAGTCCCGGGGCCAGCTCATCATGTGCACGCAGTGACTGGAGTCAGGGCTGCTTTTTCTGTTCTTAGTCAATGTAGTACTGGAAGTTTTAGCAAGAGCAATTAGGGAGGAGAAATAAATAAAAGGCATTAAAATTGATAAAGAGAAATTTAAGTTATCCGTGTTTGTAGATGACATGATGTTGTACGTGGCATAACCCAAGCCAGTTTAGTGTAGTACCAGGTTACAAAAAAAGACGTGAAAAATGCTAATATATTAGTGATAGATTCCCTGAAAGATAAATCAAGAAAAAATTACCATTCATGCTAACCACAAAAAATTAAATATTTAGAAATAAATTTAACCCAAGAAGTGAAGGTTTCATATGTTGAAAGCATGAATCACTGATTAAAAGAATCATCCAAGATATACACAGACAAGATATTCATTGCTCATGATTTGAAGAGTCAATATCATTTAGCTGTCCATATGACTTATAATGATCTACAGGTTTAATGGAATCTCTGTCAAAATACCACAGATATTCTTCACAGAATTAGAAAAAAAAAACCCTACAATTTTTATGGAATCACAAAAGACCCAGAACAACCAAGACAATCCTGAGCAAAATAATCAAGCTGGAGGCATCACAATAGACATCAAAGCATGATACAAAGCTGGGTAATAAAGCAGCATGGTACTGGCATAGCAGTTAATACATAGGTCGATAGAATGAACAGAGAACCCAAAAATTAATCCACATACCTGCAGCAGCTAACTTATTTTTGACGAAAGTGTTCAGATCATGCATTTTATAAGGATAATCTCTTTAAGTCACAGAATGTAGTTAAGAACCTGCATTAGATTCTTATCTCTCACTATATATGAAAATCAACTCAAAATCAACTCAGATCCAAAGCTTTTAAATGGCTGCAAGAAAATATAGGGGAAGCATTTTCATGTCATTGTTGTAGGAGATAACTTCTTGGACACAGCCCTCAAATCACAGGAGAAAAAGTAGAACCAAACAAATGGGACTTATCAAAGTCAGGGGTGTCTGCACAGCAAAGAACATGGTCAGCAGAGCGTGGAGACAGTCAAGAGAATGGGAGAAATATTTGTGAGCTACCTATTCAATAATATGTGCTCTAGAGTGTATCACTAACTTAGAAAACCAGTAACGAAGCACAGCCAGTGCACTCAAGACTGTCAGTAGACGGTTCTCAGAAGAAGAAATATAAAGGACCAGCAAATCATCCGAAAAGATAACTCAGCATCACTAGCCATCAGGCAAATGAAAGCCAGAGTCACAATGAGTAATCACCTCACCCCTGACGGAATGACTAAAATCCGAAAGACAAATTGGTAACAGTTGTTGGCGTGCATGCAGAGAAAGGCAAACACTTAACAAACTTATTAACTGCTGGCAAGAATAAACTAGTGCAGCCACTGTGGAGAACATTCTGAGAATTCTTAAAAAAGCTAACCATAGGGTATTCGCTTCGGCAGCGCATGTGCTAAAATGGGAATGATACAGTGAAGATTAGCATGGCCCTTGTGCAAGCATGGAATGCAAAATCTAAATGCGGAGAGCCAGGTTTGTGGGGTAGTGAGTTAGGCTGCTGCCTGCAACGCCGACATCTGTATGCCTCTAGTTCAAGTCCTGGTTGCTTCATTTGTGACCAGCTCCCTGCTTACCTGGGAAAGCAGAGGAATATGCCCAAGTGCTTGGAGTCCTGCACTCATGTGGGAAACCCAAAGGAAGATTCTGGTTCCTGGCTTCAACCTGACCCACCCATTTGGGGATTCAATGGAAAACCTCTCTCTGTTTCTTCCTCTGTAACTCTGCTTTTTAAAGAAACAAATAATTTTTTTAAGCTGGAAATAGACTTGCTCTGTGATCCCGTAGTTCCACTTCTGGATGCATACCCAAAATGCATGAACATGTTGTATCAGCCTGTACCATTATTTATAGCAGCACTGTTTTTAATAACCAAAATATAGAATCAATAAGGGTGTCCATCATCAGATGAATATTTAGAGAAAGCGTTGATGTATGCACACACTAGAATGTTACTGGGGTGCAAAAAGGAATGATATTGTACCACTTACGTCAAAATCAATGCAACTGAAAGACATCATATTGAATGTAAATAGAATCAGATGATACCGGGCGCATTCAGGGTGGTATGGCCGTAGACTATAGTAAGAATCAGAAATGCAAACATTACATACTCTCTCTTGTGTGTGGAAACTAAATTTAAATAAAAAGCAATACAAAAACTAAACTAAAATAGGAAGAAATGCTTGTTTATCAACACTGCTACAAAATAGTTTTTTTTTTCCAGTCTTTGTTTTACAACCTTATGAAACCAGTTATTAAAAATGTTACTACTGTAGTTTTAATGATCTGTGATAACTTTAAAATATACTGTGTTGGGTGAAGTGGTCATCTTCCCACTTGATTTTCGCTGATAGCCCTTGCCAATGTCCTCATTAGATAAGGGATTTATTTATTTATTTTTGCTTTCTACCTGTTAAACTCATTTGGAGAAGCATTAAACTCTTGACTGTAATGTAACTTAGAAATATGTTATCTCAAAAACAGCAACAAAAGATTCTTTGGTATTAGTTGATTAAATGTGAGGTGACTTATGTTGCCTGATGTTGGTAATTAGCCTCTGTGACACTTTTATTTAAAAAATGTTTATTTTTAAAAATTTTACTAGAAAGGCAGAGTTAAGAGAGAGGAAGGGAGACAGAAAAAGAGAAAACAGTATCTTCCATCCACTGACTCACTCCCTGAATGGCTGCTTGGGCCAGGGCTATGCCAGGCTGCATCTGGGAACCAGGAGCTTCTTCTGGATCTCCCGTGTGAGTGCAGAGGCCCAAGCACTTGGCTCATCTTTGGCGCTTTCTTGGGTTCTTTAGCAGGGAGTGGGATCAAAAGTAGAACACTAGGTCTGGGAATGGCAGACATTTGGGGTGCTGGCATCACCAGTGGCCGTTTCATCTGCTGTTTCACAATGCCAACTACATTTTTTACTTTTTAAAGATTTATTTTTTTTAAAATTTTTATTGGAAAGGCGGATATACAGAGAGGAGAGACAGAGAGGAAGATCTTCCATCCGATGATTCACTCCCCAAGTGAGCACAACGGCCGATACTATGCCGATCCGAAGCCAGGAGCTTCTTCTGGGTCTCCCACACGGGTGCAGGGTCCCAAAGCTTTGGGCCGTCCTCGACTGCTTTCCCAGGCTACAGGCAGGGAGCTGGAAGGGAAGCGGAGCTGCCGGGATTAGAACCGGTGCCCATATGGGATCCCGGGCGTGCAAGGTGAGGACCTTAACCACTGCGCCACCGCGCCGGGCCCCATTTTTTACTTTTTAAAAAGGATTTATTTATTTGGGGCCAGAGAGAGCGAGAGTAAGAGACTGATTCCATCTATTGGTTTACTTCCCAAATCACTGTGGTGGTAGGGACTGAGGCAAGCTGAAATCAGAGCCAGAAACTCCAATTGTGCCTCCCAAATGGGTGCCAGGGGCCCAAGGACCTGGGCTGTCTTCTGCTGATTTTCCTGGTACATTAGCAGGGAGCTGAGCTGGATTGGAATCAGAGTATTTGGGGTTTGAACCAGTGCTCCAATATGGATGCTGGCATTGCGGGTAGTGGCTTAATGTGCTGCACCAGGACACCAGCCCTTTTGCACCTTTTAATACTGGAAGATCCAGAAATCCAGGAAAGAGCCTTGTTTATTTCATCTCTCTCTCCAGTGAGTTTGTCACATGTTTGTGTACTTCATAAGCCTTTTAAAACAATCTGGTAAGTGAATGGTTACAAAGTCTGTTTAATACATAAGAGGAAATGTGGCTCCATATAGGATCCAATTGGGGATATTTTCTTGGTGTTTCTATTTCCTCTCCTTAGTGAGGGCTACTTACGTGTGCATGAGCAAATGGCTTGAGTAGTCCTCGCAGCTGGGCAGCCACTGTAGCTGTTGAGCGTGAGAGCATGAAGCAACACCACTTTCTTTCTTTAGCAAACTTGTCAACTGTTGTAATCCAGATCCTAGGGAGAAGCGACTCCATGGCCTACCTCGGTGTGGGTGGGAATTGATGCCATGCTTGATTTCAGTGGACTTGGCGCTGGCACTGTGGTTTAGTCTGTAAAGCCCCTGCCTGTGGTACTGGCATCCCATGTGGGTGCTGATTCAAGTCCTGGTTGCTCTTCTGCCAGTCCAACTTGGCTGATGTGCCTGGGGAAACAGTGGAAGATGGCCCAACTGCTTGGGCCGCTGCATCCAAATACCTGGATACTGGGAAGACTCTCCCGGCTCCTGGTTTTGCATGTGCCATCTGGGAAGCAAACCAATAGATGAAAGATTTTCTCTTTCTCATCCCTCCTCTATATCACTCTTTCAAATAAATAAAGATTTATTTATTTATTTTTATGGGAAAGACAGATATACAGAGAGGAGGGGATTCAGAGAGGAAGATCTTCCTTCCGATGATACACTCTCTAAGTGGCCGCAACAGCTGGAGCTGAGCCAATCCGAAGCCAGGAGCCTGGAGTTTCTTCCTGGTCTCTCATGCGGTGCTTGGTCCCAAGGCTTTTGGGCCGTCCTCGACTGCTTTCCCAGGCCACAAGCAGAAAGTTAGATGGGAATTGGGGCTGCCGGGATTAGAACTGGTGCCCATATGGCATCCCAGCATGTTCAAGGTGAGGACTTTAGCCACTACACTATTGTGCTGGGCCCTAAATAAAGTTTAAAAAATAAAAATTAAGGACTTAAGTGGTGATGCCAGAATAATTTTGTGTATAAATTTTTAATGTTTGTGCTTAAACTATCAAGTGCAGTTTTTTTGTGTACTACTGCAGGCATTGGGAGCTTTACTGCCATGTGACAATCCCACATCATTGCTTTAGGAAAAAGAATCTCGTTGGATGTCATGTAGTCAGAAAGCCCTATACTGTAACCTTGCAGATAGGTAACTCTTCATTGCATATTTCAATGTAGGTTCAAAGCCATCACATAACTTATTTGGCCAATACAGAAACTGAGAAGTGTGCAGAGTGACCTTGCTAATTCCATTGAGTACGTGTGCTATCCTTCTTCCTTGAGAGGCAATGTGGGAGTTTGTGTGATTGTTCTCACCAAAGTTGTTTAGCTCTGTCTTCCGCTTCTCAGATGGATTTGCAGATGGGCTTTCTTGTGGTTCATGAGTTGGCAGTTCTTGCCTACTTTCTCAATGAACAATGAGTTTTAAGCTTCTATTATTACTATCACAATGTGATTTAAAAAAATATATTTTCACATATGCTCTACCTGACTACCAGCTCTGGATTTGGTAGGTCAAGGTTGATTATTGGTTTCTGTGTTTATTTAGTAGCCTTGTACAGTTATTCTGTTTGCTTGTGTCTTGGTTTCCATCTATTTAGAAGGGGGAGAAGAGTAGAATCAACTTTTGGGAGGTACTAACAACACTGTCTAAGTTTCTCCACATTCCATCTGTAAGAAGCTAAATATTTTTGGCTCTCTGGAGCTTAAATTTTATCACATCATAACATACTTGTAAATACTGTATAGAACAGGAAACCACAAAATATGACATGGAGTCCTACATTGCTGGCATAATAGGATGGTGATGTGACCGCTGTGAGTGTGGCGCCCAGAAACCATCCTCCGTAAAACTCAGGTGCACATCACTCAGCACTAGAGGTCACAGCACAGCAGGCTCCCCGACACAGTGATTGCTTTTCTCATGACCCTATTTTGGTGAGAGGGAAGGGCTTAGACGGTAATCAGGCCCCCACTGACCTTTCAATTCTAGGTGCCATGAAGAATAAGATTGGGTGGCCGGAGGTCTTAGAGCAGAGGTTCTGACCCAAAGTTGCTCTGGGGAAATGGGTTTTTGAATTAAAACATGCAGTGAAGGAGAAAAGAGAGTGTTGCTGAGGCGGGAGCATTTCAGGCAAAGGGAACAGATTTATCAGTGTTGGTGGCAGGAAGCACTTGGAGACTTGAAACACGGTTGTTAGAGCTAGAGCCATCAGGCAGTGCAGTAGAACTGGTGAACCCTGTAAGACCTTGTTGCCCAATTAAGGATTTGGGATTTCATGCTGTTAGCCGGAAGTGGCCTGAGAACGATATGGATTAGCATTGGGAGAAGATTAGAGCAGCACCTATTCTCAAGTGCTCTGTGACTTTTAGGGCCTTGCTCTGGCTAAGGATGCTTTGGAGGGAATGCTGTGTGAAGAGTAGATATGGAAAAAAGGAGGTACAGTGACAGACACAGGGAAGCCATGGAGGAGTGTGTCAAAAGGACTGCACAACGGGCAAGCAGATGGATTCAAGAGTAATTTAGCAGCTAGTTCGGGTCTTGGTGGCTGATCTGATCTGGCAACGACAGGAAGGGAAGTGTTGAATGTGATCCCTAGGTATTTGGTTGCTGTAACAGGTGGGTAGACATGCCATTACTGAAATGGAAAGGAGCTGACTAGAATGTGAGAACTACATGAAAGATGGGGAAAGGCAGAGATCATCAGTTCAGTTTTGGGTATGTGGAATTTTGAGTCAATGAGAGACCCCAAAGGAGAGAAATG